GTTACGTACACGGAACATATTTTGTACCATTTGATCAAGGTCTCGATTTTGTACCAAAAGAACGACGACGATATCCAATTGTATATTATCAATGGGTTCGTTGTCTGTTTATTTTTTAATCGGTATACTGCAGCAAAACAAAATGTCGAATTTTTGCTGTAATTTTATTTCGTATGAATTTATTTGTTATGAAAATTTTTGACATAGATGGTGGTGTTTCGAAGTGAAAAATGTATCTTTTTTATACAGGTACCATATGCGTTGGCTATACAGGCGGTATCCTATTATATACCACAATTCGTTTGGAAATGTCTATGTAGTTGCTCAGGTTTTGATTATCCAAAGTATTATTTTTCAGACTTTATGTCATCATCAGAATTGAGGTTGGACTACAACAACCATAAATCAAGGCCTCTATAAAGAATGTTGGAAACTAAACATAAATTTCTTTAATCTCAACAAGAATACGTTAAAACATCACGAACATTTCTTTCTGTTCTGTTTCCGTAGCAGCCAAAAACGACATGAAAAAAATTCAAATTAATTTAATTTATTTTCAAAAAAGGTTATTAGAGGATGATTTTTTGTTTAGTGTCATTTACAAGATTTACAGTTGTCGGACTTTACTTTGCAGCTCCTGGATTTGGGGAGGGAAAGGGTCAAAGTACGGGGTGTAATTTAGGATAAACCCTTCTAAACCACATTTTTTTTAAAGGTTATGATCTCAACGGAGCAATACGACATTGTGAACGGCTATGGAACGATGTACAGGCCAATGATGCCAAGTTTGTAGGTTCGCTTTTCAGCACTACAGTGATTCTCTCAGATTAAGTTTTGAGCCTAAACCAGACAAAAAAAAGAAAACAATCAAAGAAAAAAAAAGTCAAGAAAACAGACGTTAGTTTAATTTCGGTAATAAGACCTCATTGTTTATTCTTAAGCTTTACTCCTGATTTACACTTGTTGTTCTATTAAAAAAATCCTACATATTTTCAGGTAGGTTAACTGTATTTGAAAAGCAGGGAGCTGTCTTTGTATGGGATGGTATTATTTGTGCACGCCGAAAACGCTCCCAATACATAATGCTTTTCTACTTCATTTGCACTGTATTACAAGCGGTAAACGCTTGGCTGGAATTTTATTTTCTAAATGCCTTGTTGTGTTCTGCAACCTATGCACTATGGGGACCGGGTATCATTGCAGATTTAGCACGAGGGATCGATTGGCAAGTATGTGTAGATTTCTTATACTTACGAGAAAGCTAAAAAAAAATAGTCGAAAATTTAATATTGAACAATAGATAGAAACGTAAAAAGAACTATAAAGTTGCAAGCAAAAAGTTCCTCTTTTGGTCATCAAATGAACGGTTCACATTTTTTTTGGATGTAGGGACAATTTACAAAGACTGAAGCTGATTGTTAGATGTATGATAATTATTACACTATTACTGTAGACGACCGGCCATTTTCCACGAATCACACACTGTGACTACGTCAGGAGAGCACCATCAACAGTACAGGTAATTTGCACATCACCCTTTTGCCCTAACTCTACCAAGCAGCTGGAGTGCTGCAAACTAACGATTTTAAACAGCAAACACCATTACCTCTGATTTGATGCTCATAATTACAAACTTCCTTTATTTTTTAAGATTCCCAGACATTTTAATAAAAATGAAGCGACGAAGAAGTGTTAAAATGCAACTTCATTAAAACCATCAAGCTGTTCTCCACTTCCGCTTTCGGTTTTTTTCTAAATTTTCAATTTTCATTTGAGTTCCTTTTTTGTCCCCAGTCAGAATTAAGATGTTGGTTCCTGCCCGCAGACTATTTAGTTCAATGGGAGATCAACAGATGTGACTCAAGAAACTTGTCTGTAACATCAATTTGATCCTTAACTTTGGTATATTAGTGTTACAGGAAGATACCGTACTATGTGTCTTACATTTGAACATTTACTATGAGAAACTGTTTCTGTTCCTTTGGTTTTGGTTGCTGGGCGTTGCAATTTTGGCAACAGCACACAGCTGCATTTGGTCTGCTTCGCTGTGCACAACAAATTCCGTCAAAAAGTGAGCGGATAAAACTGATGTTTTTATTCCAAAACCGAAAAGAAGAACGAAAACGAATATTTGAATATATTAAAACTCATTATTTAATTCATTCAAAACAAAAAAAGCTTCCCAAATAATTTTACTGTTTTTGTGTCTTCCAAAAGATTTCAAAGGACAAGCTTCGTTAGTAAGATTTTCTATTGAACATGGCAAAACTTTAAAAAAATGTTATACATTTTGCAGAAGTATCAGAAATTATTTGAATGAAACAACGAATGCATCACTGGATCGTTTCCTAAACGCATTAGGAAAAGACGGTGTTTTTATTCTCCACAATATTGCATTAAATATTGGAGATCTCCCGGCGAGGTTCGTTAAAAACTGATTTAGACAAACAAACTGAATTCATAACAGCAAAAAAAGCACGGGAAAGGAATTCCAAGTGTTAATTGTAGCTACCTAACGCAAGCGATGAAGAAAATTTCTGATGAATGGGAATTGTCGTCTCGTGGTGAACTAGAAGCGCAAACACTGTTACAAAAAGGCCCGAAGGCTGTATAATCCTATACTGATACTGCCTCAAAGTTTTATTTCTTTAATTGGATGTGATAAAACATTTTCAAACTTCTGAGAACATAAAACATTCTCGTTTTTCCACTAAAAAGTGTAACAAAGCTCAAAACTTATTAGCTTTTATACTATTCAAAACCAACCGTGTTTCAAAGTATATTATCACATTTCAATAAACCCATAAGGAAAGTTCACTAACAGTTGAATATGGCTGCTTGAAAGTACGATCGTCTCATTCAAAACAGCTATTCTTCTGCAAAAAGAGATTAATTCAAAAATTAAAAACAGATCATCTTAATTTTAAAAAACAATTAGAAGTGGAAATAAATGTCGTAGTTTAAAGTTCCAAAAGTGATACCCACTATGAAATACACTTCCTGCTTTTTATCACAGATGAGATTCTTTAATCACTTACTCAATGTCGTTCCTTGTTCAACAACTTTCTGAGTAGCACACGTAGATCCGAGAGGCAATGGAACTTTCAACTTCTTCCAATGTTTCATTTCAATATGCTGTTTTGAATGATCATCATCTCCACAATATGCACAAGTAACTTTATCATGAATTATCTGCATATGGCTGGTGAACTGTTCTATAGCAGAAAATCTTTCATCACAGTCGTCGCAGTTTCTTTGAGCTAGATGCATTTTTTTAATGTGTCTTGTCAGCTAAAAGAATATGCAAAATTGATTACCATTTCAAATAAAAATAAGTCTTGAGCTGTTCAAATAAAGATTTATATAACGTACTACGAGAAAGAACAAAGTTAACAATTATGAATAATGCCATTAAAAAAGATAAAAGAGTTGTTTTACAAATGAGTATCGTTAAGTTGCAAATACCTGAGTGCGCTGAATAAACACTGAACTGCAGGGGACGCACAGGAACGTACCCATACGTGTGTGGGTTAGTTCATGGGTATTAAATTCCAAAAGTCTAGTGAACCTGGAATGTAGTATGTTATGATTACTGCAAATATAAGTTTTTGCAAAAAATATATGGGTTACAAAAATTGTGATAAGTCAGATAAAGGTTAGGAACCGTCTCACTGAGTGCTCTCTTGCACAAGTTCTTATAACGAGTTGCAGCAATAACAATGCAAACTGGATTTACGACTACCTTCTTGAACAGGTCCTACACACCCAACACCCATCAGTTTTATGTGTCGCTTCATGCGTACGAGCCTCTTCCAACGATTCTAAAACTTCTCCACAAGTTTTACATCTTACGAACACATGACGTCGCTGAAAAAATAAAACTTTAACGCTCAATTATTGAACACCATCGCCCAAATTATTTTTACCAACGACACATGAGTCACTAACATTTTTGTGTCGATTTAAGTGCCATAACGAACGAAAACTGGTATTGCATAATTCACAAGCAAATCCTGAAGCAGTTGGAACCTTTCCTTCTGCAGATAAACTCAAAGGACCTTCTTCTTCCGTTATATGGTGCGTCCATTTTAAGTGAGTGTTAAGATGAACTTTTTGCACAAAAGCTTTACCACAGTGACAGCATTCAAATTCACGAGCATTCAAATGTGAAGACTGATGGCGTTGCAAATGAGATAGGTGCATAAACTTCTTAAATAAATCAGTAGAAAAATATGTTTCAATGAAGCCAAAGTAATGGAATTTGCAAATTTTTCAAAACCGAATTTCTATAAGGAAGAATACCAGTTGCAAGAACAAAAAGTGAGTTTAAAAAACTTTCAACATTAACCTTTGAACACATAGAGCAAGCCAATTCAGCATTTTTTTTCACCAAATTTTTGTGTCCTCGCTGCATATGTTTAGTTAAGTATCTGCAAAATCCGTATTTATACATCCAGTACTTCAAGAAATCCTTTATTCAATGAAAGAAAAACGGTAGTGACAATTTGATGATTTCAAATTTAAACCTGAAAGACTTACTTTTTGGCTTTTTCTGATCTAGTCAAAGACTTGAAGTTGACCGCTATACAAAACTAGGTTTTCACTTTAAAAACGGACCTTTTGCAAAAAAGTTAAACCCACTAATACAACCTACACTTACAACAACTTTACTTTTTAGCCTGTAATTATTCTATACCCTAAACATAATTAGCAAATGATCTATTTGGCCATTCACCTACCTTTTACATGAGAAAGCTTTCGCACACTTTGAGCAACGGTACAGTTTTTCATCTTGCGACATGAAGCCTGAGCGCTCATCAACTCATGCAACAACCAAATCTAAAAACCTACGTAAACTGATCCTTGGTCAGGCGTAAACTGATCCTTCAATATGTAAAAGTTGAAAAAAAGATCCAAATGCCTCGTTCTTTTATTTGACATAAATGACAAAAAAAAAGTGGCTAAAGCGTAGAGAGCTAGAATTTTGGCTCACAGAAATATGCGAAAAAAAATTAACTAAAAAAATAAAGGGAGTCTTGCGACACAATAAAACGTAGCGGTTAAAAACTCATAAGAAGGTTAGTTCTCCACTAATTCCGCTGCTCATTTACCACAAACCTGTGAAAAACAGGAACATCACTTATCTGTTTTTATGTTGATAAATTTGACATCAAAAAAGCAAACTGCTAAAATAAAATATACGTTTCCCCATCCTCCAAAACTAGCAGTAAGTAATGCCATTTGAGACAACTACAGTGGAGATCAGTCGATAGATGACCGATACTTCCTAGAGGAGCTCTTGAAATGTTAAAGCGCCATCCTCAACTAACTCAAATAAAAGTTCAGTTTCAGTGGCTTGTTAAATACAGACTTTAAGACAATTTCCAAGCAATCAACATCATTTGAACCCCAAGTAGCATAGTCTCTATTATCTTAAGCTGAACCACTTATAGACAAAGACAACCACTACCAAGTCAGCAAGAAAACAAAAAGCAAAACGATGCGTATTTAAAAAAATAATTTTATACAGTCATTCAGCGACAAGCTTACGGGGAGTTACCCAAACCTGAAGCAGAAATTTCAGCAGTCCGCTACTTATCGCCTAGAACTTCAATAACGAATAAAATTACGACATTACATGAAGATATTAATGTATTTGGGAACTGATGGCTACATTAAAAAATGCAAAGTAAGGAAACTAACTAATCCAACTAGAATATTTATCATACGCACCCAATGCGAAGGAATATAGCTGAAGTATATTGCTCACTTAACACATATTAACCTCAAATTATATTTAACAAATTTATTGGGTAAAACTGAAGTGAAAACTGAAAGTACATGAATTAGAGGCAATTCGAAGAAGACCCAAAGAAAAGGAAGAAAATTAATAATGCAAAGTAGTAATTAAACGTACTAAAAGTACCTAATATAATTCCAAACAACTTAACACAATCTGATATCTACAGGTGAGGCAGTGTAATTTTTAAAGCCAGCTGTGAAAGACTAATAACACTTCAATAAGTGTGAACAACAATCTTTATGACTGAGCATGAAAACAAAGCATGAAATAAAGAAAAATTTGTGCCCTGATAAAAGACATAAAAGAAATTTCTTAACAAGCATTCAAGTACAATTAATTACAATATGATAAAGATTAGGTCGCCCCTCGAGTCCTATCACTCTTTAAACGCGGTGCACTTTTCGCTCGCCGTTGCGTATGTGATAATTCACTAGAACGTCGTCGCGTAACTGCAACTGATTCTGAACGCGTATTTTCTTTGACATATCCGCTTGGTGCACCACCGTCAAAAGAAGTATAATGTCTGCAAACACTCCAAATTAAACTGAAAAGAAATTGAACCGAATATGCGTCAGTAACGTACAGCACCTAATTAATCATAAACTTGAAAATAAGAAAGGCCCTCACAGTTTGGAAAGAATTAAATTCACATATTTTGATTATCCTAAAGTCTTAATTTGATGTACCCTATTAGATTATTGAATAATTTCTGCAGAAGTAAGAACATCTTCAAAATACATGTTTCTAACAGCACAGCTCCTACTTAAATAAACAAAAGCCTGTTTTATACAAACATATACTGCAAAGCTGCTCAAAAATAACTGCTTTCAGGTTAAATCAGACCTGTTCATAGATACAGCACGTAATGTATTATACGGATTTGCAACGAAAGTGTTTTGACTGTGCAGCGAAAGCGTTGAACAACCGGGCAATCTGAAGCATTAATGGAATTTTGCAGAGACGAGAAAGATCTCACAAACCGCTTGTAAATTAAAAATCATGCAGACCTATAACAGAGCTTTCTTAAGTTTCTACCATTAAGACTTAAAAGAAAATTGCTCGAAAACTTACACCGGAGGATAAAGTTTCAATTCAGACTGCGGATTGTATACAGAAGATTTAGCATATTTATTTTCCAGTACTGGGTAAGCTGGAGGAGGCAATGGCTGGTAGGGTGATTCCTCATATACTGCTTTTGGCTCCTGGAAGATTTAATTTGTTTAGTCGTCTACTGCTCAAAAAAACCTTGCAATCGAGTGGTTATAAATACAAAATCTTTCAGCATTAATAGTCACAGCCCTCAAAATAAAAAAGAATGATGAAAAATGTTTCAGTAATGATATGGTGAAAAACTTCATTTAATATAAGCAGTGTTAAAAGTACCTTGAAATAACGAGTCAAAATGGTGACGCGAGGAGGTTCATTCAAATTTTGAGTGAAGAACTGAAAATTATTTTTAAAAAAAACTAAATTTCGAATAAAATTTATGAGCCGAAAAGTTCACAATAACTATAAACCGTAAATTCACAAATAACTCTCTGCAGCATACTTTGAAAGAAGACACTGAACAAATAATTGCCGAGAGTAAAAACAAGATGCCAAGAATGAGTAAAGCAGGTCCAGCCACAAGAATTGGAAATGGAACTGTATCAGCTGCTATTGGGAACGGCCATAAAGCTCCCGCATTAAAGTAGACTAGGTATAACATAAGGGCACCGCCAAAAATAAAAAACGTTCCAAACGCAGCAATACATATTGCTGGAGATGAACCTCGAAATTTCCTGAAATTAAAACACCAAACAATATTATCTGAATAAGCTCCAAAAAATTACAAAAAGACCACAGAAAGCTGACACCGAAAATAGTGCAAGAAAAAGCGGGTGACTTTATGACTACTTGTGAAACACCAAGTCCATATTTTTCAAACGCACAACAAGTGCATAAGACAAAAATTTTATGTTAAAGATTCAAAGCATCTGGAAAGTACAAAAAGCAAGTAGTTTGGTTTTGGTGCTGTGCGAGACAAGTTTACGTGCTTTGCAAAAAACCAAACAAAGAGAAGCCTAAGATACTCTACCATAACTAGATGCTCCAATACGTCGTATGAACTCCCAAAACTTAACTCTCCATATTATATCCGTAAAGGCTAAAAACGCATGAATATAAAGAGCCTTCGCAACCCTACAGGTTCAAGCAAAAAAAGAAAACACTAAGTCAAAACGCTAGAATTTTTAAAGCATATAATTTTTTGAATTTCTAATCATCCTGAACGACCTGAATAATTGTTATCCAAAAAATTGTTAAAAAGACTTGACTTCGTCAGAAAAGCAGAAGAACTTACGTGGCCCTATACGGAAAAAAGCCGAAATGAGCAGGGTATAAAATGTCCCATCCTTTCGGATAGTAATAAAAAAATGGATCTCTGTTAGCCATCGGACCAAAATGCATCATGCGTTGGTTTCCAGACCACTGTGTTGGCTCTAAGTCCGACAAGCCGGTTTGCACCATTTCATCTTTACGGTGTAGAGCCTGCTGGAGTCGACCTTCAAAAAATTTAAGTAAGAAAAGTGAATGTAACAAGTACTGATATTGTCAATAGTGCTAAAAAATGACACTGATATTAAGGCTTTCAATTCAATCCTGTTTCCTCTTTTTTCTCCCAATTAGAACAGCTGTGTGCTAAGAATAAAAAACTTTAACGCTTACAACTACAGGAATAACGCAAGCTAAACTAGGAGGTAGAAGGCGGTTATATATACCTATTCAAGTTTTTTTTGTCGACAACTTGAACAACAAAAATCAATAAAAAACCATTTCAATTGAGGACAATAATAAAAAAATAAAACTAATATCTAACGCTCAAAAAAAAAAAAAAAAAAAAAAAAAAAAAAAAA